TGTTTGAGTAGCCGTGTACCCTGTTGGTCCAGACATTACAGCAGTGTCCACTATGTTTGAGTAGCCGTGTACCCTTTTGGTCCAGACATTACAGAAGTGGCCCCTATGTTTGAGTAGCCATGTACCCTGTTGGTCCAGACATTACAGCAGTGTCCACTTTGTTTGAGTAGCCTTGTACCCTGTTGGTCCAGACATTACAGAAGTGGCCCCTATTTTTGAGTAGCCATGTACCCTGTTGGTCCAGACATTCCAGCAGTGTCCACTTTGTTTGAGTAGCCATGTACTCTATTGATCCAGACATTACAGCAGTGTCCACTTTGTTTGAGTAGCCATGTACCCTGTTTATCCAGACATTACAGCAGTGTCCACTACGTTTGAGTAGCCGTGTACCCTGTTGGTTTAAACATTACAGCAGTGTCCACTATGTTTGAGTAGCCGTGTACCCTGTTGGTTTAGACATTACAGCAGTGTCCACTATGTTTGAGTAGCCGTGTACCCTGTTGGTCCAGACATTACAGAAGTTTCCACTATATTTGTTGTAGGATGGGTACACACCTCTTCACCTGGCTGTCGAGTGCTGTAAACCTCAGGTGGTACAGATGCTGCTTGGCTTTGGGGCCCAAGTTGAGTTAAAGGGAGGACAGGTAAAAGAAACACTACTTTGTACTAATTTTACTATCACAGGTAACCTAACTGTCTTTGTATCAGACCAGCAACATAAGTCTACTCTAGCAGTTGAACTCCTATGTGCTGGTAGGTTCAGTCAGACCTAGTGTGGCAATTTTTGTCCTATTTAATTGTCAAGATATAAAAGAATTTTCTTTTGAGGGTGAAACATTCGTAACTGTCCTGCATCATAAAATCATACATGTAATTATGAAGATACACAAATTCTATTCGATCAATTATAAATGTCTAGCAAAAATAGCAAAACAAAACTCTGTCCTTATGCAAGAAGTTTATAATAGAATTATGAAGACACGTGCAATGTTTGATTTGTGTGACAACAGGCCCAGGAGACGCCCCTCCACATTGCGGCAAGGACCAAGGAGGGAGAGAAGTGTGGGGAGATGCTCCTGAAGAGTGGAGCCAATGTAAACGCCTCACAAGAGGTAAGATATCACAGGCATCTCTATAGTACACCAGGATATTCTAGCTATCCCTTCACTTCTAGGATTAAACCATGAGCTACTGGCATTTTACTTAAAAGATTAGAAAAAAAGCTACATGATAATACCCAGGATGACAGACCATTAAAACAAATAAGGTTTACCAGTGTTTAACAAATACCTGTCTGTAAGGGTCCCTCTATAAAGGACAGCAATTAATGTTGATCCCCAATTGTTCAGTGCAGTTTGTATTTTGTTTTTTACAAGGTTTACATTCTTGCTATATTCACAGTCAATGATTTCTTACTTCTTGCTGACCAATTGAATTGAAATCAAAGATTGTGTTACAGCAATGTAATGCAAAATATAACTGAATTGATTCAAGTGCAACACTGAAAGTTTGACTCTGAAATTAAGGCACTAACATGTTTTAATTTATTTCATGGAAACAACTCCGGTATTTGTGTTTTCAGAATGGAAAGACTGCTATGCATATTACTGCTCGATATGGCCAGCTTAAGATGGTGATTGCACTGCTGGAAGGCACTAACATGTTTTAATTTATTTCATGGAAACAACTCCGGTATTTGTGTTTTCAGAATGGAGAGACTGCTATGCATATTGCTGCTAGATATGGCCAGCTTAAGATGGTGATTGCACTGCTGGAAGAGGGAGGCAACCCCACACAACAGTCCAAGGTCAGTCTCACTGTCATAATATAGGGTCAAGGTTAGTCTCGGTATACAACTACAAGGTCAAGGTCAGTCTCACTGTCAAAATAGAAGGTCCAGATTAGTCTCAGTACACAACTACAAGGTCAAGGTCAGTCAAAATGTTCAAATCAAAGGTCAAGGTCAGTCAAAGTATACAGACACAAGGTAAATGTCAATCACAATGTACAAATAAACGATCAATGTCAATTTCTCTTTATACAGAAACAAGGTCAAGAACAGTGTACTAAATGTAAGGTCAAAATATTAATCACAGTATTCAAATACAAGGTCAAGAAAGGTCAGTTACTCTTTAAACAGATATAAGGTCAAGAAATGTAGAGAAATATTGGATCATTTTTTTAAGGTCAGTCATAGTTCATGTTTTGCTGAGTTGGATTGTCATATAGGAAAAGTAAGTTAAGCTTTGGATTTTCATATCTGGTTGTGTAACAGGTTGGAGAAACACCTCTCCATGTGGCGGTGCGACACTGTCACCTAGAGGTTACTACAGAACTCCTCCTCTACGTCACACGACACAAGGCACGCATCGACGCCGTCATGTTAGTTAATCAACATAATTGGGTAGGTGGTGAAACATTTACTTGGAGCTCATTTGTCTTTGATTGTTTTATAATTTGATTTTATGTCTTAATGTCTTCAGCAAGAATCATGTCAAAAGCAACACTGGAATGACAAAAATAATCTAGTTTCTATTACCCTTCAACGCAGCATTTAACAAAAGACAGTCACTGTAGTACTTATCATTGCATAAAAGACATCCCTTGGTGTCATTGCATTTCGTTGGAGACTGGTCCAATTTGGACAGTTAAAAAACGAAGATGGGGAACTTGGAAAAAATAATGTATGACATTATTGGGATTTAACACTGGTTACTGTTGTTCAAACAATTAGTTCACTGTTAACAGGAGGGAGAAACATCTGTTCACTATGTGGCTGAGCTCACTAAGAACATGGCTCACAGTGAGTTTGAGGACACGGACATCACCAGGCTGCTGCTGGAGTATGATGGGGATACAAGTATACAGACAAAACTGGTCAGTTTTCCTATGTTATTGAATACTATTGTAGACTCAATAAATATATACATGCTACCTGAGTAAATAGCATTCGTTTAAGTTGTAGTACTTAATGTATGTATATTGTTGTAGACCCATGAGTCACCACTACACTACAGTGCCAGGTCAGGAAACGAAGATATCCTGATGGAGATTGTAAAAAATATCAAAACTAGCGTCCAGTCAGCGGTTAATACACAATCAAAGGTAGGTCACAGTAGGTCAAGGTCATATCGACATTCAAAAGTTAAAAGGGCCGAGATACAGGTTATGGGAGATGGTCATAATTGAGGGAAAACATTGTAGAGTAAGCTGTGTAGTAATATTTGGTAGGTTGAAACATGTGGCAAACATTTCCTAGATCAACTACTCACAGGGTGAGCGCTGTTATCTATGTTAGACATTCAGTATCAAAATCAACTGGTATATTAAATTTATTACTTTGCAAAAGCAAAAAAAAAAAAAAAATGAATGTGGATAACAAAATCTTTTTTTAGAAATCTGAGTTAAGTATCTTTTCTGATGCATTACAGAATGGGTGGTCTCCTCTGTTGGTGGCCAGTGAGCAAGGTCACCTTCAAATTGTCAAAATTCTGCTGCAGAACCATGCCCGGGTAGATGTGTTTGATGAGGTAAGTCACTTAAACGTTTTACACAATATTTACGTATCGTAATCTTTATCCTTCAGAATGATATTTAAGATATGTATCCATAATAAAACAATAATACATGGAGAAGTAGATAATAAATACATTTTTATTATAAATTAAAATTTTGTTTTATTGTAATTTTTGGTGTTTCAGGCTTCGGCATTATGTTTCACTTCAATGGTATACCTTAGAGCAGGATATTTTCGCGGGTCAATAAAGTGATCTGCAGAATAATATGACAAGCGTAGAAATGAGCCACAATAATTAACTTCCAAACTGTAATGTCGTCATGAAATAGCGAGCATGTGGTGGTAAAAATTAATTTACATCAAGGGAAATACAAGATTGTTAAAACTATATCACACATGTTATAGTTTTGTTGATGGTTTGCTTAACAGAATACTTTTAGCCCATTGTACGTTATCTCATTTGTTGGAAATTTAAAATGCTATAAACTTGTTATACCTGTTGGTTCCTGCAGCATCATGGGAAGGCAGCCCTTCACCTGTCAGCAGAGAATGGCCATGACCTTGTAGCTGATGTCCTTCTGTGGCACAAAGCTTTCGTCAATGCCAAGTCTAAACTGGGGGTCACACCGCTCCATCTAGCAGCTCAGAATGGGTTCAACAAGCTGGTCAAACTCCTACTGGAAACCCACGGGGCCACCATTGATGCCTTGTCACTGGTAAGTCTGTACGTTAGCAATACAGTCTCTTCTGGTATCTGGTAGTGTTCTGATGGTGACTTTAAGTTGAAATGATCATTTACAAAATATGACATAGCTACAGGTCTATGGCCAAAGTGAAAACGGCCAAAATTACAATGGTATATCGAAAATAAAATAATAGAAAGTTTATATTTATTTTACAACAGTTATGAAACAATTAAGTTATTGCAACTTGAAAATAGTGCCAACATCGCAAATACTTCCGTACTTTTACCAGTTCAAAATTCATTTGAAATATCTCATTAAAAACATTACCAGCAAAAGCCTTGGTGATCAAGTTAAATGCACTACAAACTATAATTGATTTTTTGATAGCAAGGATCTCTGTGCCATTATAATTATAAATGTGTATTCTTCATTCATATTGGCTGATTTCACTATCTGTTGTTAAAGCAATGCTACTGTATTATTTATACATGAACAACATTATTATTTTTCATTTCTGTGTAGACTTTCAATCAACCAAATCGGTGCTCCGCCAGTAATTGTCTGTGACTGACACTAATGTTTTATTGTTTTTCTGTTAATTGAACATCATTAGATGTGTTGATTTGGCACAAACATGTACATAATGGATATCATTTGGAATTTATCATTTCAACATTTACCTGTTTTGTGTTTGCAATCCACCAAATATTAAGCATTAACCTGTTAACATCAAGCTTTGATGTATAAATGTAATAAAAAAGAGAATCTATCCAATATCAAATACTTGTAACCATATTGTAATTAGGTATTGAATTAATAATTAAAGCATTCCTACTTGACATTTTAACAGATTTATTAGTAAGACAAATAATAACACATTTCCATATTAAATGGCAATTGCTACAAGCATCCGGACCATTTAAACATTTTTTTTGCTGAAATTCTTGTCAAAGATACAAAATGTGCTATATTTGTCGCCTCTCCTGATCAACACTTAATACTGCATGCATATCTGGTAATGGAAACTTTTGCCCTTTCAAATATTTGCCTTACACTGGTAGAATATATTTTTGCACAGTGTAAATTTCCCCTTTCACATGTTATTACTAGGTATAGTAGGTGTTGTACTTATTTACACTGTCAGGATAAATTCACCCTTCTTACAGAGAGCGTAAAAGACGAAAGTTACACTGCAGCAAAAATTTCACGATATACAGTATTCTACAATCACAGCATGGTACTGCTTATCACTTGTTTGTTTGTTTGTTTGTTTATGTTTAACGGCCCATCGACGGCTGTGGTCATTTAGGGCCATGGTGATTTATTTATTTATTTTACTTTTTTAACAAACATGTGAATAGCGAAGATAAAATCAGATAAAATGGTTCATTTTAAAAGTATTCGCATTGTATGTGTAGATAATAAAAAATAATAAAAGGGGGTTAAAATATTATCAGTTGTACCACTATTTGAAAATCTTAATGAGTGACCTTGACCCTGTTGTTATTTATAGGCTAAAAGGACTCCATTGCACTACGCAGCCCAAAATGGTCAGATGGAGGTGTGCAGTACGCTTCTGAAGATGAAGGCAGATGCCAATGCAACAGATGTTGTAAGTTGAGCTTTGGGATTTTTACTGTGTATTTTGCGCATTCTGGGTAATTTTTTACTCGAGAGTGTTTTGTTTATGATTGTGGACCTGCTGTGCAGGGTTCCCTTATATAATTAATGTATAAAATCAGTACAGGTCAATAATGAAACAATGGACACAGATGAAAAGGAAAACATACTAGGACTACATTCGCGTATCCTGGTTCAAACGGTACGTGTGGGGCAGAAATTTTCCACGATAAATGAACGTACTTGGACCTGCTCTCACGCGTCCACTGAATAATATCACGTATCTTAAAAATTACATGTGGCTTGACATTGTTTCAGAAAGAAATAATGCAAACTAACAATAGTCAGCATTTTAGTTTCAGTCAGGCACGTCTGGACCCCTCAATCTACACGTATCAAATTTTCTTGAGGTCAGCTGCGGTCCAGATCTGTGCCTGTCGTTTTCTTTACAGGTTCAACCGGTTCAACCATTTCAACTGGATACCCGAATGTACCCTAGAACATCCTGGAACAATACTACTTTTGAACTTTTCATATCAGTCTTATTTTGGATATAACTCATCGTAAATAAAAGTTGTTAAGCAAATACAGTTACCTTATACTTATATGCTTGGATAGAATCACTTTTGAACTTGCATTAACAATACTTGACATTGTTGAAGTATACATTTCTATATTATTTCACAGCATGGTCAGACTCCTCTCCATCTGGCTGCAGAAAATGACCACTCCGATGTGGTCAAGCTGTTCCTGAAGTACCGCCCAGAACTTGTCACCATGGCAAACACTGTAAGTATATAGAACATGGTTGTGAAATCTCTTCATCACCTCAAATTAATATATTTGTTGTTGAACTTTTTCTTAAAAAACCCACCCAATTGACACACAATGTTTGATATTTCAATTATATTGGAAATATTGATATATATGTATATAACGTCTTTTTATCAAAACAATATTTTCACACCTGTGTTTTAGGACACACCTGTATCATCACATCTTGTCACAATTAATCTATATTAACTACTGTGTACTATGTTTGTCGTGAATGTTTGTATTACATAAACATTTATAATATATATGTTTATATTAACACTTGCACTTTGTTGTGGATAATATGTGTTCTGTGGAGATTGTAACTTGAACTATTGAGCTATTTGGAGATTGTAACTTGATCTATTGAGCTATTTGTTATGGTACCCTAGGATGAGGTAAGTAAGAAGTGACTTCGATAGACAGTATATTATCTCCCCTTGGCTCCCAAAGACAGTGTATTGTATTATCTCCCCTTGGCTAATTGACAGTATATTGTATTATCTTCCCTTGACTTACTTAGCAGGTAGTATATTGTGTTATCTCCCCTTGACTTACTTAGCAGGTAGTATATTGTGTTATCTCCCCTTCGTTCATTTTAGACAGGTCACGCATATTGTTTTGTCTTCCCCCTTGTTTTGCCTTAATGTCCTACCCTAGTGTTTTGTTGAACTGTTGGACCCCATTATTATTTAGAATAAACCTACTTCGTTGTGATCCTGCTACACTGCCATGTTAACAGACAACATTGTGAGGCCTAGTTGGTAAATATATTTCTAGCTGGAAAATATGTTTTATAAAAATGGTTATAAATTGGTTTTAGGCTGGTGACTGATTTAAACATTATAATTTTTAATGCTTCTTTTAGGATACAGCAACAATATTAAGATCAGACAGAAGTTTTATTGGTACGCTGGTTAGATTCTTTAGCTGGTAAAGGGTGGCAATAAAACATATTCATTACTCCAGTCAGCCTGAACTCGGCCTCATGATGTTAACTTTGATGTTGAGAATCACCAGTTGTATCAGTTTTCATGTCTAAAATGTCAAATTTTCATTTTTGTGTCCAGATATTAATTCCTGTATTTAAATATATTTTCAACATTTTTGCCACATAGTCATTTTGAATCTATCGAAAAGAATGCTTCATTATTTTCATAAATATGAAAACGACTCACTTTAATCTAAAGTTATTGAGATGGACTATACAACTGGATTGTTCTGTATGCTTTGTGTATATTTTGTTCTGTAGATGTATATGGCATGGACTATACAACTGGATTGTTCTGTAGGCTATATGTATATTTTGTTCTGTAGATGTATAAGGCATGGACTATACAACTGGATTGTTCTGTAGGCTATGTGTAGATCTTGTTCTGTAGATGTATATGACATGGACTATACAACTGGATTGTTCTGTAGGATATGTGTAGATCTTGTTCTGTAGACGTACATGGCATGGACTATACAACTGGATTGTTCTGGATGCTATGTGTAGATCTTGTTCTGTAGATGTATATTGCATGGACTATACAACTGGATTGTTCTGTATGCTATGTGTAGATCTTGTTCTGTAGATGTATATTGCATGGACTATACAACTGGATTGTTCTGTAGGCTATGTGTAGATCTTGTTCTGTAGATGTATATGACATGGACTATACAACTGGATTGTTCTGTATGCTTTCTGTATATTTTGTTCTGTAGATGTATAAGGCATGGACTATACAACTGGATTGTTCTGTAGGCTATGGGTAGATCTTGTTCTGTAGACGTATATGGCATGGACTATACAACTGGATTGTTCTGTAGGCTATGTGTAGATCTTGTTCTGTAGACGTATATGGCATGGACTATACAACTGGATTGTTCTGTAGGCTATGTGTATATTTTGTTCTGTAGATGTATATGGTATTTTCTGTTACGTTTTTCTAGTATATTGCTGTATAGTTGTAGACATTACAAATGGATATAATTCAGTGTTTTGTACGCTTTATGAATTGCAGCATTTTTCTGAACTATGATGTCATGATTGTTAAGTTGGAGATTTAATGCCAATACTTTTGAATTTTCACACAAACAATACGTTCAGAGATTAATAATTACGGACATTTCATTTTTGTGAAGATTATACACAAGCAGATTTAAGGTTCTCTGTCTCTGGGTAAAGTGGTTTTTCGTTTGTACAATACCACCACTTAGGTAGCAGTGTACAGTAGAGGGTTGTGGCCATGGGTGATATTTTTGTTAAATGGCTAACCCCTGTATAATGATATGTAAAAAAAATATAAAAATAAAACTGTACTTAAATTGGTATAAGCATGATGAAGTGGGCTATGTGAGCTTCACATTTGTAAAAAAGAAAGAAGATTTTTTTGGTTCGAGAATAAAATTTTGGCCTTAATCCGAAAGGGTGCGTACACATGAAAAGCTAGCTTTACAGGAGGTAAAATTTTGACAACAGCACACGACGCAAAATTGCAAAAAATCAAGTTTTACAACTTTACTGGGACCCAGATAATTCTGCAACCAGGTAGGTAATCTTTAATTTCAGACAGAGCTTAGGAAAAAAATTACTAGTTGCGGGGGTCAAATTTTGGGTTAAAAATAGCAATTTTTGGCATTTTTTGGTAATTTTTGATGTGGTAACCATGGTTTTCACACAAGTGACATACATAGAAAAAAGAGGTTTATACACTTCTCAGTACTTTATATGTATTGTAAATGTAATGCAGTTTACAAATATATATATACATGGTTTAGATATAACTATAAAACAATAGGGCGAGGACACTTCCATTGACCTGGTAGCTCAGTCTGTAAGAGTGTTAGTATAACAACCTGAAGTATTGGGTTCGAATCCCAGTATAGCCTACTGAATTTTACATTTAGAACATTGTTGTTGTTGTTCATATTTTGTTCATCTCATCTTTATTTATTTTTTCATAAAAGTCACACAAGGTATGTTTTTTTTCAGAAATGATCTATCAAAGCTTAAATCATGTCGGAAAAAGTGTTTCCTATGCGTAGTTACAGTTTCTATCAGTGGTATGGGATCCTTTTCTGGTTTCGACAAAGCCTCGGGTTTTACCAAATTTGAAAACCCCTCAGATGGAATTTCCCTATCCTACACCCCTGGGCATTAACGAGTCTTATAATCATATATTTATCTATTATGAAGTTGTTGAGGTGAATATGTGGTTATATGAACCTGAGAAAGTGATATTGACCGAGACCAAGGTCAATATCACCCCCTCTGGTCCATATAACCAAATATTCACCGAAATAAAACTCTGTAATTGTTACATTACCTGTGGTAGATGATATATAATGTTCTAATCATTAAACAAGATAAAACATATGAAAATTGTTGGAAAGAAAGTACTGCATTCGGTAAAGAGCATTATGACTTTACAATTGAAATGACGTCATAAAGTCAGTATTGACCAGCTGTGTCTGAAAACAGTAACACCGAGTCAATATCACAAATCACCGATCTCCACATGATTGTGATCCAACCATTGACAATGATTATAAATAAAAATGGCAGTCATTGTATATAATGTTATTCTGTTCTTGTACATGTTGGTATTGCTTTCTTCATGATGCAATTGATATTGACATCACATTTACAAAAATAAAACACTGAGTTCTCAGGCATTTCAATGCATGTTTTTTTATACCTAAAATTGTGATGTAACATGGCAGGTTGACATTAAATGTCCTCTAATAGGATAAATATCTGTCACTTATACCATATCAAACCTTATATCAAGGATAAATATCTGTCACTTATACCATATCAAACCTTTTATCAAGGATAAATATTTGTCACTTATACCATATCAAACTTTATATCAAGGATAAATATCTGTCACCAATTCCATATCAAACCTTATATCAAGGATAAATATCTGTCACTTATACCATATCAAACCTGATATCAAGGATAAATATCTGTCACTTATACCATATCAAACTTTATATCAAGGAGATTCCCATGTTCCATATTGACTATGAATGTCAACTCAAAGCAGTTCTGTATACCCTATTGTGTGTGGTTTTGTAGAACGGGATGACATGTGCCCACATTGCGGCTTCCAAGGGAAGTGTGGCAGTCATCAAGGAACTGATGAGGTTCAACAAAAATGTGGTGACCACTGCCAAAAACAGGGTAAGACCAAGGAAGATCATTTATTGGAGTAAAAAAACAGTGATTTTTAGGTCATGAAGCGGACCAAAACACAATTCAAAGTCATTTGATAAAGTCAGAACAGAGTGATTTCAAGTCGTTTAGCAGATAAAAGCATTATGCTGTCATTTCAGAAGTTCAATGCCAGTCTTGAATAAAATATATATACTTGTTACAAATTGGACAGACTGCAGTCTTAAAAATAGAATTTCCTAACATATTAAGATATACAGCCAAAATTAACTACATGTATATGTAATACAAAAATTAAACTTCATCTTGAATATCTTTTTCATGGTGAAGTGAACTTTGACCTGACAAGGTTACTGATTGTTGTTTTGTGTGTGTAGTAAACTTTGACCTGACAAGTCTACTGACTGTTTTTTTGTGTGTGTAGTGAACTTTGACCTGACAAGGTTACTGACTGTTGTTTTGTGTGTGTAGTAAACTTTGACCTGACAAGTCTACTGACTGTTTTTTTGTGTGTGTAGTGAACTTTGACCTGACAACGTTACTGACTGTTGTTTAGTGTGTGTATGAACTTTGACCTGACAAAGTAACTGGCTGTTGTTTAGTGTGTGTATGAACTTTGACCTGACAAAGTTACTGGCTGTTGTTTAGTGTGAGAATGAACTTTGACCTGACAAGGTTACTGATTGTTGTTTTGTGTGTGTAGTAAACTTTGACCTGACAAGGTTACTGACTGTTGTTTAATGTGTGTAATAAACTTTGACCTGACGAGGTTACTGACTGTTGTTTTGTGTGTGTAGTAAACTTTGACCTGACTAGTCTACTGACTGTTGTTTTGTGTGTGTAATAAACTTTGACCTGACAAGGGTACTGACTGTTGTTTTGTGTGTGTAGTAAACTTTGAGCTGACAAGTCTACTGACTGTTGTTTTGTGTGTGTAGTGAACTTTGACCTGACAAGGTTACTGACTGTTGTTTAGTGTGTGTATGAACTTTGACCTGACAAAGTAACTGGCTGTTGTTAGTGTATGAACTTTGACCTGACAAAGTTACTGGCTGTTGTTTAGTGTGTGTATGAACTTTGAACTGACGAAATACTGGCTGTTGTTTAGTGTGTTAATGAACTTTGAACTGACGAAATACTGGCTGTTGTTTATTGTGTGTAGTGAACTTTGATCTGACAAGGTTACTTAATGTTGTTTAGTAAACTTTGACCTGACGAGGTTACTGACTGTTGTTTAGTGTGTGTAGTGAACTTTGACCTGACAAAGCTACTGACTGTTGTTTAGTGTGTGTAGTGAACTTTGACCTGACAAGATTACTGACTGTTGTTTTGTGTGTGTAGTAAACTTTGACCTGACAAGGGGACTGTTGTTTTGTGTGTGTAGTAAACTTTGACCTGACAAGTCTACTGTTGTTTTGTGTGTGTAGTGAACTTTGACCTGACAAGGTTACTGACTGTTGTTTAGTGTGTGTATGAACTTTGACCTGACAAAGTAACTGGCTGTTGTTAGTGTATGAACTTTGACCTGACAAAGTTACTGGCTGTTGTTTAGTGTGTGTATGAACTTTGAACTGACGAAATACTGGCTGTTGTTTAGTGTGTTAATGAACTTTGAACTGACGAAATACTGGCTGTTGTTTATTGTGTGTAGTGAACTTTGATCTGACAAGGTTACTTAATGTTGTTTAGTGAACTTTGACCTGACGAGGTTACTGACTGTTGTTTAGTGTGTGTAGTGAACTTTGACCTGACAAGGCTACTGACTATTGTTTAGTGTATTTTATTGAAAAAACATTTAACAAGTCTGTATAGTTTAGGATAAAACAAAAGGCTTTAATAAAACACTTTTTTGTTATAAAATCAATACTCTATTAGTTTCTTATAATCAATATTAATTACACATTGAAGAAATGTTTCGCTCAAGATTGTGTTGTACTTGTGTTGTCAGACCAGTGAGTCAACAGCGCTCCACCTGGCAGCAGGCGGAGGCCACAAAGAGGTTCTACAGGTGCTGTTAAATGCAGGGGCACTCGCTACAGATGAGAATGCTGTGAGTATACTTGATATCAGTCTGCAAGCTTGACACTTTATTTAATTGTAGGATGACATTTTTGTGATTTTACTGTTCTCAATCTTTTGGAGGGTTGCTATGGCAGTGTATGGGATAGGATGATACTAAGCCTTAGTATCATCCTATCCCATACACTGCCATAACAACCCTTAGTAAGGTCAACAGTTCAGAACAAATACAAGTGTCCTGACAAGAAGAGTTAGTTAGATGAAACTGTTTGTTCCCATTTTTTCATTTTTTAATGTTTCCTTCAAACCTGAAAGCTGACTCTGAATGTTGCAGTGTGTCATGTTTACAAAGTGAAGCAAAATTGGATGTCATATGACTAAAGTTCAGCACAAGGTATGGAATGTCATGTGACCATAGGAAGGCATAAATGGATGTCATATGACTAGAGTTTAGCACATAATATTGAATGTCATGTGACCATAGTTAGGCATAAATGGATGTCATATGACTAAAGTTCAGCACAAGGTATGGACTGTCATGTGACCATAGTAAGGCATAAATGGATGTCATATGACTAAAGTTCAGCACAAGGTAAGAGATGTCATATGACCAGGGTTAATCACAAATGTGTGGGATGTCATGTGAATAGAGTAAGCACAGGGTGTGGGGTGTCATTTGATTTGAGTATAATACAAATTGATGTCATGTGACAGGAGTTTATCCCAATGTGTGGGAAGTAATGTTACCACAAAGGATGTCATGTTATCAGAGTTTAGCACAAAAGGATGTCATGTGACTGGAGTATAGCACAAAGCATGTCATGTTATCAGAGTTAAGCACAAAAGGATGTTAATCACAAATGTGTGAGATGTCATGTGACTGGAGTTAAGCACAAATGTGTGGGAAATCATGTGACTGGAGTTTAGCACAAATGTATGGGATGTCATGTGACTGGAGTTAATCACAAATGTGTGGAATGTCATGTGACTGGATTTAAGCACAAATTTGTTGGGTGTCATGTGACTAGATTTAAGCACAAATGTATAGGATGTCATGTGACTGGAGTTAATCACAAAAATTAATGATGTGAAATGTCTTGTGACTGGAGTTAAGCACAAACGATGTGATATGTCATGTAACAGAGCTTCAGTATGAGTTGTATAACACATGTCATTTGGTGGGGCTTAGTCTGAATGGTAACTAAACCAACTTATCATATTGGATTGCACTTGAGCCTGTGTTGTGTGACAAATATGATAGCTGGGTAATTTTATCTTGTAATTGTGATATAAACATTAGTATTTGACACTGTGACACTTGTTGGCAGCCCTGTGGCAGTGCCATCAAATTGATATTTATTTTTAATACCATGACTAATAAGCTATCATGTGTAATTAGGCTACACACTTTGAAATGTGGAGCTATATGCAGTAGGCCTGTGGGCAGTGTAACCTTGATGAGACTGACAAGGTACATAAACCCTCACCATACGCATCCATAGTACTCGTCAAACTCTATATTAGTGAGACAGTTGTTTCTATGAAGGTCATTTACAGCAAGGTTGTTAACTTTGGCATGTAGTGGTCTCTTTGGTCTTTGTTACCTGTAGTTATTATCTGTAATTAAATACTTGTTGCTAGTTGATGACTTTACCTGTTAGGGAAGATATTTAACTATAATAGAGGATGATGTTGTAACACTTGTTAAAAGCATTGTTGGCTTAATGAAGCATACATGAAAAAAGAAATGATATTTTCATCTTATTTGTATCAAATGATTTCTAGATTTTTTTCTCTATTTGTTTTAGGATGGAATGACAGTGATTCACTTGGCTGGAAAGCATGGCCATGTGCACATTCTAGAGGCTCTAAAAGGTCAAGTGTCATGGAGGATTACCAGTAAAAAGGTAAGAAATCATGTTTTGTGGAGAATACTGTGGAAAATATCATAATGAAGGATAACCATAAAAAGTAAAAGGGAACTATGTTATCAGTGTTTACTGGTTGAAATGTAGGTAAACTGATGTGTTATTTAAACAGGACATGAAAAATGTGAAAGACTGTGATACTAAATGGCACCTACTGATGACCTTGTTAATTATGATCTTTCCTTTCCAGACTGGACTATCTGCCCTCCACGTAGCTGCCCACTATGGCCAGGTGAACTTTGTAAGAGAGATGCTTACCAAAGTTCCGGCTACTGTCAAGAGTGAGATGCCGGGAGGAACAGGGGACGCTGCACTTAGTGGATTCTCCGCAGAGGTCAGTAACAAAACGTTTATACTAAATGACATTTATACTACATATGAATAAGAAATAAATTTGATAAGCTTCAAACTCTCCTTGTACAATTATCCTCTCTGTTTGCTTCCAGGTGTGTCCTTGATATATACCTGTGTGTCCTTGACCTTGTTCTCCGTGTTGATTTCTCAGTTTAGATTGTAATTAGTCAGAAGTAATATCTATAATAACTGTACTTTATATTGGTCACCTATTCTTGATAGTTGTGTGTTATGTAACATTAGATTTGATAGTTGTGTGTTATGTAACATTAGATATGTAGATACTGGGTTTTTTTTCTCCAAAATATAGATGTCATACGCAATTCTGATAAAAAAATCCAACTATACTGACTGTTAGGGAACTATGCTTTGTTAGTTGTGTTTTGTTAGGTGTGTAAACTATCCCTGTGTGAAACTACCAAGTCTGGATCAGCTTGTAGAGAGTATAGTGAGGATACTAAGACTTTAGGTCAAACCTACTTGAGAGACCACCTCTGTTGAGTGATCACTTGTGTTAAGGCACCACTTTCAAAGCTTTCCATTGTAGTTGTTTTCATGTTTAATGAACCTGTATTAAAAGACCACCTACAATTAGAGACCGCTTTATGGACTTCACAAAGTGATCTCTCAGTACAGGATTGTATGTATGGTGATATTGATTCAAGAATGATGAAGAGAGTATACTCATTCACCCCTACATATCTAAATGAACTTGCCCAGTCTTTGACTTAGTAAGGTTCAAATGTGGCTTTAGGAGTGAATGGGTTAAAGGAAAATATAGTTGAAAAATATGAGATTCTGATGTTGATAATTTTCAAAGTTTTTTTCTGTAAATATGTTTGTAATGCTTTATTTCTGAAAAACTTCAAAAACAAAAACACCACAGGTACAACAGTTTCCTTGGAAATAACAGATTTCAACTTCGACAGGTTCACTTGTCATGAAAATGTATTACACCTAATGGGAAGATCTGGTTTCCAGTGTTTCTGATGACCCAGTTTTTAGGGGTTTTTTGGCAGTGTACAAAACTAACAACCTCTTTACCTAATTTATCTGTTTGATCATTGAAATAAATGTAGTTAAATGAATATATTTTTGTTTAATTTACAACAGTACATTTTGTCATCCTTCTATGCTTCCAGCAAAAAGTTTTACACAAATGGTTAAATCTAACTCAGGTGAGAATCTGACCTTTACGTGACCTTGGAAGGCACTGCAGTCTCACCAGCTTACATTTCTAGATGTGTTCACAGTGTCTATAGTGTCACACTGTAGTATTGATAGTACTGAGACCTGCACAACTAATGTGGTATCCCTGGGTCTAACGTGTCCACCACCCACCATCCTATATATCATTATAGTCTTAGTAACAGTAACACAAACATATGTACAAACATGTGCCTGTAATTAGTGTGTATAACCTGGTCCACTACACATATTATATAATACCTGTACATACCTGTACATACCTGTAATTAGTGTGTATAACCTGGTCCACATCACATCTCATACTTGAACATACCCGTACATAATTGGATACTATCCTGGTTGCACCTTTATACCAACAGAGTCTCATGTCCCATTTTATACAGATTTATGGCCCTTCCTTCGTTTTTGATACCAAAGTATGTCTACAGACTACGGATTGCTTGCAATACTTAGCCATTTAAACATTATCCAGTAATTCATGATTTATTTTCAGAGACAGTTAGTTGTCATAATTATACATCTGTTTTATCAAAAAAGGGGGTTATATGTACTCCTTTGTATGTCTATGGGTGAGGTTTACATGTGGGCAAGATTTATATGTAGGCGAGGACAGTCTATGGATAAGATATAACTATGGGAAAGGTCTATATATCTGCAATGTATGTCTATGGGTGAGGTTTACATGTGGGCAAGTTTTATATATAGGCGAGGACAGTCTATGGATAAGATATAACTATGAGAAAGGTCTATATATGTGCAATGTATGTCTATGGGTGAGGTTTATCTGTGGGCAAGGTTTACATGTGGGCAAGTTCTATATATAGGTGAGGTCAGTCTGTGGGTTTCATTTCACAAAGATTTTATTGAGTATTGTAGCTTGTACAAATTCAAAAGGAACTGGGCAACAGGTGTGTTACCTATACAAACCCTATTCTAGAGGTTATTCTATGGGTTAGATATATCTGTGGATGAAAGATATCTATGGACAAGGTATATATATATCAGTAAGTTCTGTCTATGGGTGAGGTTCATCTATGGTTAGACCATTGAGCTACAAAACAGTATAGGATTTCAGAATAGAAATCATTCCTTTTCTCAGGAAATTCTGTGCTCAGGTTAAGAACTACAGGTGAGCTGTTTGTCTCTAGAAAAATGTTTATCCTCAACACCTTAATGGATGTGATTTATGATCATCTCTATACACATATAGCTAATAGTATCACATCTAGTATATATCCACTAGGTGGTATATGTTAACAAGTATCACCTAACCCTTACAGAAGGTATCACCGTATAGCTTGTATCTCTACATCAAACAGGTGTTACCAAAAAAGTCTTTGGCTAAAAATAACATAAAAAGAAGTACTTGTACCATTTCCTCAAAGAGAGATTGTTTTCACAACTTTGTTGGTTTGCAGTTTTAACAGGATGCATACAGTTTTGCATTTCTGAGGATATGGAGAAATATCTTTCATGTTGTAAATATTCAAAGTGTATGGCCACAACAGGACATTCCTGTTCTCACATTTTCTTGCTTTGAAGTTTTGTAGTCTTATTTCTATTATAATAACTTAAAGGCTCAAAATTGGTCTCCCAAGAGAAAACATTGAGTGATATTTTCTAAGGTTAAATGTGTTATTCTCCTCCTGTTTGTGTCAGTGGGTTACACCTGCATGTTGCTTACGTTTTCCTGTTGACCTTTGAATCTTTGTACCTGCAGTTATTTCCAGAACAGGTAAGTAAAAGCACGTTTACCTGTGGAAAGACAGGTGAAGGGATGGCACAATTGTTTAACCCTCACACATTATGTATATATACAAATTTGTACTGGGCACCACACAAAATGTTGATTTAAATGACAGAGTATTGGATGACTCCATCATACCATAAGTGGTAATATAGTTCCTTTAAAAGAGCATGGCATTTATTTGAACCTCCATGCACATATTATACTTTTATACTTGTTAAAGTTGCATGATCCTACATCAATTTTGAGCCGAAGTAGAAAATATCTACATACACTAGAATATCTCTTTAAGGATTGGTGTCCAAATACCAAAAAGGAACAACTGATATCTATGTAGGCCATTTTCCTGACTTGCTATTCAGCTTAGTTCCTCCAATCCACCTTGAAGCTCACTCCTACCATATGAGATTGCATGCATGTGTTTTGTTGTATGTGTTATTTTTGTGTTGAGTGGGAGTGCCTGTATGTTGTTTTTATTAATTTTCATCATCCACTATTCGAAGAAAAAAATGGGTATTCATGTGTCCCAGCTGTCATGTTTTAGTTTCCGTACAATAACTGCCCTAAAGATGGTCTGATTTCAACGAAATTTATTATGCGCATGTTGATATGTCTCAGGCTGAGTTCAATCATAAATTTGATCTTTGAAATCTTTAACATACTTAATGAGGTTCCAACTTCTAATTGGCGACCAGTAATTGGTTTTTTTGCAATAACTGCCCTAATTATGGGTCAATTTTAACAAAATTTGATATGCACATACATGTTGATATGTCTCAGGCTGAGTTCCATCGTGAATGTGATCCATGCATATTTATGCTCATATAAAAAAGTCAAAATCTGAAACATGTCCTGTAAGTTGGGGATATAAATTCCATGAATTTGCTTGTTGTGTTGAGGGGCATGCCTGTTATGTTAACCGTTATGTTTGTGTTTAGCGGGCATGCAGTGTTGCCTGATTACTGGTGACAACCACTACTGTGTGTTTGGTTTGTTAGCGATCCTGTTCCTCACCTTATATTAATGATACATCACAAGACAAAACTGCAAACGTCTCACCTTTATTTATTTTTTCTTTACAGATCGCGACACCTTTCATTTTAATTGCTACTAAAAATTGTATGCTTGTGCATATCCTAAATTTCTGATTTTATGCAACATTCTTTTACAGGTGTCACAAATAGTCTTTATCAAATGATATATTTACATAGCAACTAGATTTATTGAAATATATTTACGTTTCTTGAGCAGTTTGACAAAAAATCTTCTTGGTGCACCTACAACATAACTCAAATTGTGTACCTTTGTTTCAAAAAACTTTCAGAAGGAAACATTCATTAATCAGTATTTACGTTACTTTTGCTGGCATGTAGAATCCACAGGTAGAAAATTGTAGTAAGCTAGCATAGTAAACCTCTATAAAAACATGCTGAAGCTAATTGCAACGTTATTACAATCATTTATATTTTGTGATGCAGTTTTTAGCTCACCTGGCCCGAAGGGCCATGTGAGATTATGCCGTACTGCGGCGTCCAATGTCCTTCCGTCAACTTTTTCTTTTGAACGACTTCTTCTGAAGAACTGTAGGACCTAGGGTCATGATATTTGGCCAGTAGGTACCTGGGATGGAGTGCTATAAAGTTTCCTCATTAAAATGACCTTGACCTACTTTCAAGGTCACAGCGGTCAAATATGTGAAAATTTTCGAACAACAATTTCCTAAGAACCATTTGAACTAGAGTCATGATACTTGGGTATGTTATGTAGACCAGCAGTGCGAATATTTTTCTCAGTTACAGTTATGAGGTCAAAGGTAAAATTTAAATGCTAGTCGGGGGTTCAAATGTCAACTTTGGTTAAAATCTTTAACAATCTTCTTCTCAAGTTCCATAAGGCACAGGGTCATGATATTTGGCCAGTAGGTACATGGGATAGATTGCTATAAAGTTCCTCATTAAAATGACCTTGACCTACTTTCAAGGTCACAGCGGTTGAATATGTTAAAAACTTCAAACAACAATATCCTAAGAACCATTTGGATTAGAGTGATGATACTTGGGTATGTTATGTAGACCAGCAGTGCGAATATTTTTTTTAGTTACAGTTATGAGGTCAAAGGTCAACTCTAAATGCTAGTCGGGGTTCAAATGTCAGCTTTGATTAAAAGCTTTAACAATCTTCTTCTCAAGTTCCATAAGTCCCAGGGTCATGATATTTGGCCAGTAGGTAGCTGGGATGGAGTGCTATAAAGTTTCCTCATTGAAATGACCTTGACCTAATTTCAAGGTCACTGGTGTCAATTATGTTAAAAACTTCAAACAACAATATCCTAATTATATAAGAACCATTTGGACTAGAGTCATGATACTTGGGTATGTTATGTAGACCAGCTGTGTGAATTGTTTTCATTATTACAGTAATGAGGTCAAAGGTCAACTTTAAGTGCAAGTTGGGAGTCAAAGGTCAATATGAGTTAAAAGCTTTAACATTAAAATTTCAAGTTTCAAACAACAATATCTTCAGAACCGTTTAAGAGATGTTAAAATGTCTTGTGTTCTAGTTACCAAATTTGGTCTTATGTTACCTATATGTCATTTGCAAGTAACAAAAGAAACAGGTGAGCGATACAGGCCCTCTGGGCCTCTTGTTAAGTATTCTATATGCACAGATTTGAACTTTAGAAAGAAAATTATTTATTAAATTATTATTAGATATTTCTTAATTAATGTGACCAATTATATATAGTCTGTTAAAATAAATTCAAATAAATATTTGCATGATATTTGAATTAATTTCTGGTTGTCTTCACAAATGAATGCAAGAATAGTTAACTGGTGTCTCACAAAGTGAATAGCACAGTGGAAGGGGAGACAACTAAATGTTACATTTTACTTAGAGACAATCAACAAATTGATGTATACAGGTGTTATAATCAATAAACCACTGTATATATTACAAAAATGTGTCAGTACTAGTGGATAAATTTGCAGTTTCACTAATAACACATTTTGTGCTGGTGAAATTACTGATCAGAGATGGATACAACGGTCAGTACATGTCAGTATATATAGTGAGGGAAAATAATGCAGAAAAATGAACGGCTGGTAATAAGCTTGAATAACCCAACAATGTAAATCTCCACTTTTTCAATAAAGGTAAACTTTAAGCCAAGAACCGTACTGTATAACTGGAAATTTCTGCCCAGTCAAACTTTTGCCATACCCTAGTAAATTGGTAATAAAATTCATATTTGCCCAGTAATAATCTCCATCTTCTCATTTGATTTCTCTGTACTATGTGTATTATGTTGTTTACTACTGTTTGCTGCAATGACAAATTTGTCCTCATTACGGAGGGCAGAAATGGCAAAAGTTTAATGGCGGTGAAAAGTTCCTGATATACAGTGTGTTGTCCAACCGTTCATTCTATACCTGTCTGACTGACGTTAGACACGGTTTTCATCCATTACCGTGTCTAACATCGCTGTTACGGATCTGACTAACGTTAATCTTACCTGTCTGACTGTTGTTACCTGTCTGATGTTATTTTTGTAATGTTACAGTCAGGACTGACTCCCCTTCACCTGGCTGCCCAGTCTGGCCATGAAGGACTTGTGCGACTTCTCCTAAACTCCCCGGGGGTACAGGCTGATGTATCCACAAATGCTCAGGTGAGGTGTGCTATTGTTGGTATTACAGGTATTAGTTGATTCACTAACTACTAAGGAAAATAAAAATCTTGAAATTGAAAAAAATAAACACTTATTGCTCTCTTTACATATATAATAAATATCTATTCTGATCCTTTGGTCGGACTGACTTTGGGTTTAGTTTGCCATCATGATAGTACAACTATATGACCTTGTATGAAGTCTTGTAGAGTTTGAATCCAGAAATAAATTGTTTTATGTAGAATTTTACCAGAGTCGAAAGTAAAGATTATGTGATAAAGAGAATCTCAAATTTGTTTCCATTTAGAAAGTTTCTCCACCATCGGTGTCTCAAACTTCAAATTTGTGACCTGAAAAACGACAAGGTGCCTTAATGAAAACAGATATAAGATGTAGCCAAACTGGTTAAGAATGTTTTATTTAAAGGTTTTATAGGGGTTAGACGACTTGTAAAATAATTTTCATGTTACATATAATGAATGTATATAAGATGTTCTGTATGATTATATTTCCTAGGGAGCCATTCCTCTCCATCTAGCCGCCCAGGGTGGACATACAGCCGTGGTCAGTCTACTACTTAGCAAGTCCACAACACAGCTACACCTCAAGGACAAACGTGGTCGCACCGCCCTTCACCTTGCTGCGGCTAATGGCCACATTGACATGGTGGCTCTGTTGCTAGGACAGGGAGCTGACATCAATGCCTGTGACAAAAATGGCTGGACCGCCCTCCATTTCTCTGCCAAGGCAGGTTACCTTACGGTGGTCAAACTTCTGGTTGAGGGGGCAGCTTCGCCAAAGTTTGAGACCAAGGATGGCAAGGTGCCCATTTGCTATGCTGCAGCAGCTAACCACTCGGATGTACTCAGTTACCTAATGAGAAAGGATCACAACACACAACACCTTATGGATGATAAAAAGGTAACTGGCTGCAATTTATTCATTCTGTTTGGTTTTGTATTAAAGAAAAATATTGCTTTACAAATTTGAATGATTATTGGCAAACTGGTTTTGAATATTAAGTTTCACTGTTAAACTGTGTATATGTGTGAGAAAACTGAGTACATGCATTATACTTTTAAGAAGTCTGCAATGTTATATCACATTGTGAGAAATCTAGGTATGTTTACATTGTACTTATGAGAAACTTGAGTAAGTATACATTGTACTTATGAGAAACATGTACATATGTATTTGTACTTGTGATAAGTCTGTACATTACATGTAGATTGTGCTCGTGAGAAGTTTTCAATTAGCAATTTCCAAGTAAAATGTGAACGGTATTTTATATAGGCACATTATAGATGTTTAATATGTGATCTTAGTTCAGTGCAACTGAAATAAAAAATAAAAAAAACTATAGAGCGGATATTTTTTATTTGTAGAACAAAAAATCAAACCTGTCCATATGAGAGGCACTCAATGGACCTTTATTCAGAGATTTGTGAACTGTTAGTATATATTGTTGTATATTTTACAGTTTGTGTTTGACCTGATGGTGTGTGGGAAGATGAACAATAACAAGTGTATTGAGGAGTTCATCCTTCTGTCTCCGGCTCCTGTGGACACTGCCGCAAAAATGTCCAAAAACTTTCGTCTACTGGCAATCAAGGAAAAGGAGAGGTCACGTGACCTCACATCCGCTGGTAACTACTGTGAATTCATGGCAACGGAGCTGTTGGCAATTGCGGCAAGCGCTAACAGTGCAGGTACTTTACTGAAGGCAGTCGACTGTCACGGAACACAATTCCTGGATGTACTGATTGAGCATGAGCAAAAGGAAGTTGTGTCTCACCCTGCAGTACAGAAGTACCTATCAGACGTGTGGGTGGGTAACCTACGCTGGGCCACCTGGAAGATTGTCATGCTGTTCATGGCTTTCCTGTTTATCCCGATCGTGTGGCTCATCTTCTCCTTGCCACTCAAGCACAGGTTCAACAAGGTGCCTATTATCAAATTCATGGCTTACCTGGTTTCTCACCTGTACCTGATGATCTTGTTCTCGTTAACAGTGGTCTTACCTCTTGTGCCCATATGGCAGTCGGGCAGCCTGATCCCCCACTGGTACGAGTGGCTACTCCTCGCCTGGTTGTCTGGCCTGCTTGTGTCGGAGTTGACTAATCCAGGAGACCGAGGTGGCCTCGGCTGGATCAAGGTCATCTCAATAGGACTCAGCTCCATAGGAATATTTGTGCATGTCATTGCATTTGCATTTGACACAGAAAACCGACTGCTCATGTTGTATATCAGGAACCAGTTCTTTGCATGTGCTCTCCTCATGTCATTTGTACAGTTACTAGACTTTTTATCATTCCATCACCTGTTTGGACCCTGGGCTATTATCATCAGAGATTTGTTGAAGGACCTTACACGGTTTTTAGTGATTCTTTTAATATTTATAACAGGGTTCACCCTACATCTCTCAGCGATATACCAGCCGGTTTACAGTCCGGTGTCGGAGAACGCTGCACTGGGGACGGGCGTGGGCAACGGTGAACCAGAGACCTTTATGACCCCTATTGACACATTTGAGTTACTGTTCTTTTCACTCTTCGGGCTGGTTGACCCAGACAGTTTACCCACCACCTACAGAAGTCCATTCTGGGTGATCAGTCTCGCTAAGATTGTGTTTGGTATCTACATGATGGTCACCCTCATCGTACTCATCAACCTTCTCATAGCCATGATGTCCGACACCTACCAACGAATCCAGCAACAGTCGGACATGGAGTGGAAGTTTGGCCGGGCCAAACTGATCAGGAACATGAACAAGACTTCCGCAACTCCCTCTCCGCTGAACTTGTTCACAAAGCTCATCACCTACTGTCGTGTGGCATATAAACACAGAGGTTAGTGTCGTATTCATTTCATCATCTACTGTTGTTTGTAATACTCTACCTTTAAAGTTACAATTCTTGAAAGTTTTTATACCCTTGCAAATGATGTTCAGGAGGGGGTATACTGAAAGTGCCCAGCTCATGTGCTTGTATCATAAATATTTTTCCAAGTACAATGAAACATACAAATATACCTGTCAATGTTCCTATTCAATCCTTTATGAATATGTAGTTTGAAGAAACAGTTTGAAAAGAAATGTGTGCTAAAAATTGGAGATTACATCAATAAGCAAAGCCCCTGTTGAGAGTTGTCTGCCTTTGCTATTGTAGGTAAGCTGTGTTCTGGTCAGTCCCAGGACTATGTACACGAGGATGACGATCTGGACAATGTGTCCGACTCTCGGTCAGTTGACCTCCTCGCTCACAATTCAGTCAGCTGGCTACGCAACGTTGTGCGACGTAATACCCAGGTGGCCCCAGAAGGTAATCACAGGTTTGAAAAATAAAGAGAAAAGAATCTTAAACTGTTTTTTTTTAAATCATACATTTTGGAGCTGAATATCACATCCACTGTCTCCAAATAATGCAAGAAATGTCAAAAAAAGATAGAAAGAAAGAATAACATGGAAAAAGGATAACAAATGCCTTGTGCCAACATGATATAGCGTCTTCTTCCCAGCATCTTTTTATTAGGTCACCTGAGACAAAGTCTCAAGTGACCTATTGCAATCGCCTTTTGTCCGTCGTCGTCCGTCGTGCGTCCGTAAACAATTTACATTTTCGACTTCTTCTCCAAATTCTTTTCCAAACCCCTGAACCAATTTCAATGAAATTTTGCAGGGACCTTCCATGGACAAAGGTCAACAAAAATAGTGGCCGGTTTAGTCTCAAGCCCCCATGGGCCTGAGGGGTAGGGCCAAAAAGAGTCAAATTGACTAAACTTTCAAAAATCTTCTTCTCCAAAACCCCTGAACCAATTTCAATGAAATTTTGCAGGGACCTTCCATGGACAAAGGTCAACAACAATAGTGGCCGGTTTAGTCCCAAGCCCCCAGGGGCCTAAGGGGCGTGGCCAAAAAGGGTAAAATTGACTAAAATTTCAAAAATCTTCTTCTCAAGACCCAGATATGGTAGAATCAAATACTCTTCATAGATGGAAGGGTCTTAAGGTGCTTCACCGAATTTCCCCGAAATTGTGAATTTCATGACCCTGGGGTCTCACGTTTCCCCCTGGGGAGGGGGTAAACTTTACTATAGTTTATATAGGGAAATCACATTTTGGACCAACATTTGTCTAATTTCCATTGGAAGTAATTCAATTTGGGTTAGCATTATCAGTATTAAGTAGCAGTTTGATAGTATGCACATATGAGCCCTGACTGACCCCCAGGGGCTGATGGGTGGGGCCAAAAAGGGTCGAATTTACTGAAATTTCAAAAATCTTTTTCTCAAGACCCAGATATGGTAGAATCAAATACTCTTCATAGATGGAAGGGTCTTAAGGTGCTTTACCGAAATTGTGAATTTCATGACCCTGGGGTCTTATGTTGCCCCCTGGGGAGGGGGTAAACTTTACTATAGTTTATATAGGGAAATCACATTTTGGACCAACATTTGTTTAATTTCCATTGGAAGTAATTCAATTTGGGTTAGCATTATCAGTATTAGGTAGCAGTTTGATAGTATG